AGCTGTTGACATTTTTAACAGCACTTGTGTTTATTGCTGAAATAGAATTGAGTAGTTCATGAAAAATCGTTTAATAGTTATACTGCAAAAATAAAAAACGTGAGAAGGGTTATTTGTGTTTATATATCTTTAGTTTTTTTTTTTAATTGATTCTAAATTAAATAGACTTTTTGTAGCTCAGTGAAAAGGTGCATATTTAATTTTGTGTTCTCCATTTTTTTTCAAAAATGTTTTTAAGCTAGATAACAAACCTTTTTGGGGGGGTAACTCTTGAGTGAAATGGTGCTAATGGTGGCAGTGTCCTAAAGAGTAGACTTTAATTTCAGACTGTTTGTTTCTTAGGGTAATCTAAAAATTGTTACATATATTAGAAGTTTTGGGTTTGTTCTCTTACCAGATCATTCAAGCACATGGTGGGACAGTGGACCCTACCCTTACAAGCAGATGTACACATCTTCTTTGTGAAAGCCAAGTCAGTAACATGTATGCTCAGGTAATAAGCAAACTAGTAACGTGTATTCATGCATGCTTTCATTTTATTACTGGAAAGGCGGGGTTTCCAGTATGTACTTCATGCTTAGATTGTAAATATAAAATTAAAGTTTTTCATGATGTGCTTTTTTATGATTTGTGGTTTATGGTATACCAAACTCATAATGCATGTAGTAGATTTATTCCAGAGAACACTGAGGAAGATGCTATGAGAAGAAGGATCCTAAAAAAGTAGAGGAAAAACAAACGATGAAAATCGAAGCTTTGTATTGTAGAAAAAGTGTAAAATACAATAAGGATGTATTTTGATTTTTAAAAGCTGTTTATGCATGTATTCACAGGCTTTAAGAGAAAGGAAGAGATGTATTACAGCACACTGGCTGAACTCAATCTTGAAGAAGAAGAAAATGGTACCACCTCATCGAGCCCTTCATTTTCCAGTGGCATTTCCACCAGGAGGAAAGCCATGCTCTCAACACGTAAGAAGAAAAAGCTAACTTCTAACAAATGCTTGGTTCATTACATAAGCAGTATTAAAATATAGCTAGAAAGTGCTTACTCAAAGCAAAATACTAATTTCTTTTGTCTTGGAAGAAAAGCTTCTGGTAATTTTAACGTCCTGTGTTGATGTGGTGCATACTACCGGGTAATTCAGAGTGCTTTGCAAGTCTTGCTGAGCTCTGAGTGGTGAGGAGTAACACCTCTGTTTGTGAATTAGTCTCTTAGAAACTGAGGTGCAAAGATTACATGAGTTAAACATAGCAAGATGACAGGAATCCAAGCTGCATAGTTTTTTACTAACAGCATGTCTAACAGTATATGCTTCCTTTACCATAACCTAATATTTTGTGGGGATTTTTTGAGGGTTTTTCTTTTTCTGGGTCAATACCTAGCAAATAGATAGGCTGTGCTGTTAATCAGAGAATAGGAGGTCACTGTTCCAGTAGCCTGTGCAATGAGGAGCACTGGGGAAGCTGAATTTTGTGGGGTTGAAACATAAACTTGCAGTTGAATCAGATGCATCTTGAGATACACTGTGCAACATAAAAATAAGATGCCAAAGTGTGTCTTGGCATTGGATTTCTTTGGGCTGGATGCAGACATAGAGGATGATGGCCTTGCTACTAGCCTGTTCTAGAAGGCATAAAAAGAAATAACAGGTTTGGGAAAATTAGAATATAACAATATGCATGTGAACACAGTGGTTAGTAGCAAATGTAATATGTAATGTAGTAAAAGTAGTTTATTATCAACAACAAAATTGCTGTTGCCTTTGCCTAAATAAAAGGAGAGAATGGCAAAACTGAAAACTTGGCAAGACTGAAGATAAGAACAGGAGGGGTGGAATTACACTTCACCACCTATGATCAGCTGGCACAGTTTATTTGGCTTCATGGCAGGGTAGAGCAGAGCGTTCAGGAGATTTTTAAAAGTAGAGTAGGGCAAGTAAGTATAAGCGTTTCTCTGTCTCCCTGAATATAAACAGCAGCAGGAGAAAGGCGAGACGTGTGAGAAGAAAACTAGCTGTGAGCTCTTTCATAGTAGAACTGTAGTATTTGTAAATGAGAAAAAGCTGGCCAGCAGAACGAAAATGATTCTTCCTGAGTCAGAACTAGTGCTGGAAACCTGAAATGTTTATGTATAAACAAATCACTTTTGAATTGTACTTTATGTATCCTACAAGCCATGTTTTAATTAAGGGCCTATATGACATAGTTATGATACTGTATATTTCGTTGTAGTGTAAAAAAGTTAGTAACAGAAAAATATTTTCAACAGGAGTGTTTTGTAAGTACCATCTACGTTCAGTTATCTGTAACTGTCTCTTTCTATCTGTAGATAATCTCTGTGACAGGATTTGTTGATAGTGACAGAGATGACCTCAAACTAATGGCCTACCTAGCAGGTGCCAAATACACAGGCTATCTGTGTCGCAGCAATACAGTTCTCATCTGTAAAGAGTAAGTGGTTTATCTCTGCAGTACTCACGTTCTCAGTTGCCTGTTGCCAGTTAGTGCTTTTCTTAACGTGAGGTGCTAATTGCATCTCATTATAAGAATGGTAATTTTAATCAATTTTGCGATTTGATAGCAATAAACTTAGCGATGTCGTTTCTTGAACTAAATTACTGCACACTGTTACATGATAAATTTGGCCTTCTCTGAAGACAGGCAAAAGAAAAGTCATTTCTAATTTCACTGTTTTGCAGTATTTTATAAGTGATGCTGACCATTACATCATCTATAAGTAAAATATCTTTTTTTTTTTTTTTTAATGTTTTAAAACGGTGGGGGAGGGAAAATTAAGTTAAATCTAGGTCTAACTTGATTCTGTTTGGGGCAGAAATACTCCCCTAATTGACTTGTTCTAGCATGTAAAGCAAAAGTATGTGTTCAGAGTATCTACTTTGTCACAGTTAAAATAGATAATAGGCCAACACAGAAATATTGGTATTTTAGGCTTATTATTAGAAATTGCTATTTTACGTCTTTTATTGAAATATATTTTTTTTTTCTTAATCTCTGAACAATAAGGCCCAGTGGCTTGAAGTATGAGAAAGCTAAAGAGTGGAGAATACCATGTGTAAATGCGCAATGGCTCTGTGACATACTGCTAGGAAATTTTGAAGCTTTACGGCAGATACAGCACAGTCGGTATACAGTATTCAGTCTTCAAGATCCACTTTCTCCTAGTCAACATCTAGTTCTAAACCTTTTGGGTAAGAGTTTCAGTCCCCAAATCCTGTGTTCTGTAGCATGTATATATGTACCTGTTTAATCAATAGAAGCATGTGTCTTCTGTTATAAATAACTTTGCAGTGGTTTCATTTTTGTTTTGTTCTTCATTTCCTAGATGCTTGGAGAGTCCCATTAAAGGTATCACCAGAAATTCTAATGGTATGTTGAATTATTGTATATATGCAGGTGTTCTTTTAAGATTACTCTTCAGGGCTTTTAATGTGTGAGCACATGTGTATATGGTGTGAGCAACATGCCAGAGGGACTTACACAGGCCCATACTGAACCTCCTGGCTGTACTTCCTGCTAGTGTTCTCTCTATTTTATTTTGAGGAATCTGAGAAATAATCTTTTGCAGAACTAAGAACCTGCACTGTGATATACAAAATCAAGTTACTTGTGAGACATCTTGGGCTAGTGCTTCACTCTTCAATTTTTACATCACACCTTTAGAAAGGGCTTAGTATTTTTTGAGTCAGTACCTAACACTATCTGAAAATCAGGCTACATAAGGGTTTTTAAGGCAGAGCACCAAAAATCAGTGAGGATTTTGTTGGAATATTGGCTGAATTTTAAATAGGATAGATAATGTAAATTAAGGGTGGAACTACTTTATATCATCTCTTTGAAATACTCTTTAAGAACTAAAACCATGGGCATCTATACCATATATTTTATAATTTTAAAATATATCTTGCTTTAAAAAGTGTAGTTGATAACCCTGTAAATAACAGCAGTGTAAATGAACAACAGTAAGGATACGAAGAATGTACCTTAAAAAAGATAGAAAACATTTAGTTTTTGTCACGTAGTGTATTCTGTGAAACATGCAAAACATGAGACAGGTGTAAGAGCTGAGGTGGAAACTGCAGCTTATCTTCTGAACTGTTTCCTTGTTCTGAATATGTAGAAAACTCTTTCAATTTTTGTATTGTAAATTCTCTTCCCACTTCAGATTTATACTTGATAACTGTTTTCACAGTGTCTGTGTTGATGTCGGTAAATCCCAGTTGGAGCTAGTGAGCTTTCAGTTCATTGGTACAACAGATGACTGTCAGATAACATTTTATATTGCACAAAAACATTTTGCCATACGTCTTGCATTCTGGATCACTTCTTATCTCCGTTGTTTTGTATACTCTTCAGAAAAGAGGAGCTTAGTAACTGTCATAACTTAATTTGTACTAATACTTTAAATGGGGTCTGGGCACTATTTGTTGTTTTAATACCTTTCAGCTTTAGAAATAGTCACTACTATATCCCTGGCCCTAAGTTTGAAACATTCTTCTACTTACAGACCCCTGTGGAATTGTTTTGTGGGCCTGTAGGAAACTAATTTTTAGGAAATTAACTGCCTTTAAAACTTTGTGCACTTCATATTTTCCTGAAGAAGGATGCATTCTACTAGTGGCAAAATAAAAAATCCTTGAAGAGATTCGGTATGCACTATTAGTATTTAAATAGCTTTTAACTAACTCAGTTCTGGGTTTGTTACCACCACCCTTTGTGTCCACACTGCAGTTGAGCTCATCTTAAAATCGGGCATGTGCCTTCTTTGTGTGACTCAGTCAGACCAGGTGGTGGTCCATGTTTTTTCTACTGTAGCAAATGGAGAGAACTTAGGGGTCAGAAAGCCTAATTTTGTACCTCCCTTTCTGTATTTGCTATATGGGGACCCTTCTTCCCCATGTGAAGTGAGTATCTTGTAACTTAGATCGAAAGGGACTTCTGGAGGTACTCTTGTCCAGCTCCCCTCAGGATGCCCACGTATGCAGAATATGATTTGGTAGTAGAAAATGCCAGGCATGTGAAAGTCTCAGACGAGGAGGTACTTCACTGCCTTCATAGCAGGCATTTCTGTTTGTCTTGGGAGTTAAAGTATGGGGTCCTCTTTTGAGGACAGCTGCCTGTCAGACAGTGTTGATGCCATCTACCTTTTGCATTTTCATAGTTGAAATGAGCGTGTGTGCTTTTCTTTCCAGCTGCTCTTACTAGTGATTGTCTAGCATAAAAATGCATGTCCCTGACAGCAGGGAGCAAACCCCTGTGGCCTGTTCCTCCCAAAGGACCGTCCTCACAGTGAGGCTGGAATAATGCTACCTGTCTTTCTGGTCATGTGCCTCTAGTATTCCTCATTAAATTTCAGGTGTAGATTTGAAGGTTAAAGAGGAATAGATGTCACATGCTCCTGCAAGTGAGAGCTGTGGTTTCAAGTTATTCAGGCCAGGGAGGGCCTAAAAGCTACCTTTCTCTGTTCCTGGGGAAATGCTATAGTGGCTGACCTAGTACTGGGGAGGGGGGAGTGTCTATCCAGTGAGTACCTGAGCATCCACTGGAGCTTCTGTTTAAGTAGTCAGGGAACTTGAGCATTTAAAACACAGGTGCCAGTATTTTCTGTTGATATTTAATCACCTGGAAGAATATTGTAGTCTTCATGTATTTAACAAATGGACAGGTTTTTCAGTCTCTTCCTCATTTACTTATTTGGGATTTCCGTTGAGGAGTATCAGCTTTATTTAAAGCAAAAAAAGTCCCACAATATTTTATTCGGTGTTCACATAAATGATTATATAACTTTATGGAGAAGCTTTGGTTAATGCTCAGCTTTGCTCTTGAGTCAGTTGTGTAAGCATTAGGCGCACCAGTATGCATTCAGTAGCATGTCTTTCTCATTCGTGTTTAATTTTCTTTAATATAGTCTCAGAATATCGTGTATAGTTTTCATCTTTCAGAATAGAAGTTGGTTTCCCTGCTCAACTCAGATATATACATGTAGATGATCTAATTTCAGGGTGTGAGGTTGCCTTTGAAACCAAAGCAAAATGAATCCAGTCTTCAGCCATCTTCCAAAAGAGCAAGGTAAGAATAGCGAGCAATCAGTGCCGGTAGTCCTTAATTTACTTTTCTACAGAAAAAGTTCCATCCTGTGCCCTGCAAATTGAAATAACTAGCAATGTTTTTTGCATATTGCTAGCTACTCAGCTGGCAGGAATAAAATAATAACTAGAGAGTGAAATAGTAAGAGAATTGGGAGAGAACAGAAACAGGAAAATATGTCCTGTTCTCAGCATAGAAATTTTTTCCTCAGAAGAAGATTGGTCCTGCCTAATTCTCATTCATCTGAGTACTTCCATTGGTAGAAGTTGCAAGAGTGCGCTTGTCTAGTTTTTAAATAATAATAATACAACTTTGGGCCCAAACTTCACATTCTGCTGTATTTCATGTATTTTTGTAGGATTGAAGACCTACCACCACCTACTAAAAAACTCACCCCAGAATTGACGCCAATGGTGCTCTTCACAGGATTTGAACCTATGCAAGTTCAACAGTACATTAAGGTGACTTTCATGCTTCTTTCTTGTGAACTACATTGAAACATCTCATAACTTTTTTCTTGATGTTGAATTCTTGCTATCTAAGACCTGATTAGCATACACCTAGTGTATATAAAACCCCATACTTACTGGGGCTGAGGTTAGAGTGTAGATTTATGTGAAATAAGTTTTATTTGGTAACTGTTCTGTTTTAGTTAACTACTTCATACTTCTGTGCTCCTTGTTTTTTCTTTCCATATGATTGTTTTAAAAAGCAAGAAAGCCCCTTCCACATTTGTTTTTAAATCAGCAAATTTCATGACCAAATTTAGGTGGGAAAAGTACTGATGGTTGTACTGGATAAGACCCAAGACTCTTCTAGTGTAGTTGCTATCTGTAATAGCAAATGTTTCAAAGAAAGCTGATGACAAAGCTTATGGCAGGTGTGAGATAAGTTCTCATGGAGATTTTGTTCTGTTCCCTAATAAAGCTGTCCCAAGACGTAACTGTAAATAATTTATAACATTCTTTTAACAGTATAAAAATCCAGTCATTCTGTGAACCTTAATAATTACTAAGCATTTGTTCTAAAAGAACTTTTCATTTATGTTACTTTTCACATGTTGGCTGACGTTAGAGGCACATGGGTTTTTTTAACTGCTGACCTCAGTAGTGCATGAAAGGTCCCGCCACTGATGGCTGCTCCAGATAATGAAAAGTAAATGAGGCCTAGTTTGAGTCCGCTACATTTCTTAGAAATGTGCATCACTTTGGTGTGCTCAAAAACATCTAATGTCTTCTTTATTATACCTAAAGTTGTTTTTAAAGTAGTTGGACTTTGGAGTTTTTTTCCCTTGCAGTGTTTGCATTTGAAGCTTGATATTAAATATTTTGGAACATAAAATATTTCTTAGTATATCCCATAAAGTTCCAGTGTCAGCTCCTCATTTTCTGTCATGTTGGTACGGGGTGAATTAATTATATGGAGAACCTGTTTTGGTAACAGCTATGGCTTACAAATGTAAAATATGAACTTCAGCCTCAAGGCTTGTGAAGTTGAATCTAAACTTGGCAGCGATGATACCATCAAGACCTTTCAGAGTGTGGATGCCTAGCTGAGGCTGGATACTTCTCATCTTCTTGAGTTGGAGGGGTAGTCTTTTTTCCTATCTGCCCAAAAAGGGTTCCTTGAACATCAGAATGGAAATCTTGCAAGATCTGCACTAGGTATACAGTGTTTGAGGGGAACGTGTATTAACTATGAAAGTAACAGCTTCTGCCTTTCCTAGGTGTACAAGTGTACTGTTCACAATGTGTTTATACATACCCTGAAGGAAATGCATAGTAGAAAGGTTCAGTGTCATTGAATAACACTTTTGTGTATTGTCTCTATGCAAACCGTCAAAGTAAGCCAGCACAGTAAAGAAAAGTTTAAAACGTTGTCTATCCTACTTGTTCCTTATTATCAGAGCAATAGAGTACAGAAGGATGCTAGAGGTCTTTTAGGGTTTCTAATACACCCAGTAGGCCTTCCTGCGTTCGTGACTCCTGATGACTGATGTAATAAAATCACCCTAGTATGTTCGATATTTATACTTGAACATATTGGTGTTTTTTTATCTGTTTGTACAAAATGCTTGTCAAAGAAAATCAGAAATCCATGGCACATAGATAGTGAAGTTGTCCAAATATTTTTTCGTTCTTTAAATTTTTATGGGAGGAAGCACTCTTTATTTGTAACTAACACCTATGGTAATTTGATATGCCTCACCAGTTGATTAGTTGTATTACTGATCCCTTCAGATAATGATTTGTATCTTAACTGACAAGATAGCAACTGTGATGAGTTAGTTCGGGTTTGGTAGCTTAAACCAAGGAAAAAAGCATAGTTGCTCAGTATCACAGAAAAATACATGTGGAACTAGTGCATTTAAAGAACACGTTTTTCATGAGGTGCTTTTCTTTTTGAAGAAAAGACTAGCAAAATTAAGTTTACCGTAGCTACAGCGTATAGTGTATCTTCAATAGAAAAGAGCAAAATTATTACATTTTCTGCTTACTTAAATTTAATAGCATGTTTCACTTAAAAAAGATTTTAATTTGTGTCTTCCTTTCTTTGCTTAAAGGAAGCACAACCCAAACCCAAAAACCTGCAGAAGCGGAATGGAGCTTTCAGTCTTGCCAGATGAAATTTATGTCTGGAAATAGCTGGATTTTCAATGGCTGTAAATTCTGTCAAAATTAATCAGCTTTAGGAATGACTGTAATAAAGAAATCTGTATTTACTTTTTCATTAGGAGCTTAGTTTTATTTGATGGTGGTGGTGTTATTCTTCATTTTTTTCCTCCAATTTGTAAAGCACTATTCCATGCTGATTTGTGTTTTGTACAATTTTCAGAAACTGTATATCCTTGGAGGTGAAGTAGCAGAATCTGCCCAGAAATGCACCCATCTAATTGCCAGTAAAGTGACCCGAACAGTCAAGTTCCTGACAGCAATTTCTATAGTCAAGCACATCGTAACTCCAGAGTGGTTAGAAGAGTGTTTCAAATGCCAGAAGTTTGTTGGTGAGTTAAACTAGTATGGACTTCTATAGTAAACATAAAGTTTGTTGATTTAAGTATGCAAAGATGGCATGTGTATTTAAATACACTTTGTTGTTTTGACTTCTGACTTCAGTGTCTCTTGCCAGTTTCCTAAAGAGTTCAGTTTTGAAAGCAGAGATTTTAAGTCTACAGCAAGTCTGACTAGCATAGTTCATAACTCATGTTTAAACAACTGTACTAGCAGCTAGTTTGTATTTCACTTGAGGTAGGAGGTTATGTTGGTATGGTTAAATAAAGCTGTCATGAGAAGAAATGATGTATTATTTTTTTATTAAGTGCTCTTTCAACAGAACATTTTCTTTCATTTAGTTTTCATCTGATTTAATACAGTTTCTTTGCATTAAATGAAGTAAAAAAAATACTTCAGAAGTTTGCTTTGGGGTGATTAAATGGTTGGATGTTAAGCATTGTCTGTCTTTCTCGTATAGATATTTGCAGATTTTTACCTATGGTTACATTACTTTTTAAGCTCCAAATGCTTTTGGTTTCAGTAATTTTTCTAAAATGTAAGTTGTAAAGCACTAAGCCACTGTTGGAAATACATACAAAAATGCATTTAAATAATTAAAGTTAGTTAGTCTAGTACCATAACTGTGTTGGAAGATAGCAACTTTGTGTTTACACTGCTTTTCTCTTGACAGCTGAAAATAACAAAGTAGATGGTTTTGGTCTGTTTGACAAGGATGTTGGATCTGAAGAAAATCTCCTTAAAGGCTGATAATTTGTTTTATGATTGTTTTATGTTTTTTATATAATTTGTTTTGTAAGGAGCAAGTATATAACATTGTTGCATAACCATCACAAAGTCTTAAATCTATGGATAATTAACCAATAAACCAGCAAACATTTTTATAAATCTGGAGAAGGCAACTTGCTTGGTTCAGCATCAGTGAACTGAGAAATCGATCCATTTGAAAGCTATTAGAAGGTAAAGAAGGTCTGGGGAAGTAGAAGGATGACTGTTTTGATCTAGGACTTGAAGTACTTTAGCTACAAATCTACTGAATTTCAGTAGACAAGTAATGGGCTGCCTTCGCTTTTGTACGTAGTACAATGATGGAAAATACGGCAGTTGTTTAGAAAAATTGTCCTACAGGTTTTCTTTGTTTTATGGAAGAATATTAACACCATCTCTTGCAGGTTATCAAAATTGTCCTTGGAAAGACCAATTTGTTCTCCATATAAAATTTTTTTGTTCTTTAAACTTAGATCTTTTGAATTAAATCTGATTTAGAAATATGTTTGACATAGCTTTTTGTGGAAAGATGAAGTTAAGCCTGAAATTCCATCCCTAATAAAAAACGAAAAATTGGCTGAATAACAGGACAAGGGAAGCAGATGGAAAGTTTGCTCTGTTAAGGCTGCCTGAGGAGTTGAAGACAGTTTCTGGGCTCCCATAGGTTGTCACAGTGATTTGAACTTAAGCTTAATCGTTCTGCTCCTTTTTTGTGGAGGATCAACAAAGAAAAGTTCACAAGTTCCTCCAATAAGTTAGAAAAAGGGACTTTATAGGACAGTGGTTGTTGCTAGATACACAAGTGTAAAATACATACACAATTTTATTCTCCCAAGTAATCGTGGGTCATCCTTGTAAGGCGCCTAATAAAAGGTAGTATTATAATCATGTTAAAATTAGTGAGTGTTTACCATTTAGAGTCACTCTGCCGCCAACATTTTTGGATCAGATTAGATCCTGGGTTACGTGGATGTTTTTGTCTTGTTGCATCATCAGTCTTTCTTTTTCAGATGAACAGAACTTTGTGCTCAGAGATGCTGAAGCTGAGGTGCTATTCTGCTTTAGTTTAGAGGAGTCTCTAAAGAGAGCACAAGTAGCTCCACTGTTCAAGGTATGCAGTGTAAAAGGGCATTTAAATAATTGGAGCTTTTCAACCTAATATTTTCAGCATTGGGACCACAGCTTTTGTAGCCATGGGCAATAAAACAGACTAGCATATAATGTGAAGCACTTATTATAAATTTTATTTTTTACTTTATGCCTACTTCCCGCCTAAGCATTGCTGGGATGGATCTAAGCCCTCTGAGAGACTGGATCCTGTAGATGTGAACAAAACATGCTCAGTATATGCTCAGTACACTTAACAGTATTTGTTCCCTTACAAAATTCAGAACATTGCTCTGTTACTTGTAAAATGCCACTTACGGAAGGGACTTTTTTTTTTTTAACACCAGCCTGGTAGTCAAAGCACTTGCCCATAAAATTGAGAGTCTGAGAGTGAGTTTGCACTTCAGCCTCAGGGAGTTCTAGTCTGATTCTCCTTGAAGACTGCACGTACCACCAGGCTGTTTGCAGGGACGGTGCAAGATGGTTTTCATGCCTCCGGTTAAATTACGTTACAGTCCAGAGAGGTATCTGAAGATCCAAGCTGCTAGAGATTCTTCAGCCTAACTGAATTTGAGACTCTTTATTGAGGCAAACCACCTAAAAAGGGTATTTTTACCACCTGTGATGAACAAGAATCTATGTCTTCTATTAAGACTAAATGCTATATTTCACTCAGTTTTGCAGTCTAAATAGCAAGGGTTTTTTTAATTCCTAACTGGTAAACAGAGATCATCTACTTTGTGATCTGATCACCTGTATCAGTCTCAGTCAAGTAGTAGGATAATTTTTGTCAGGAAGTAATAAATTGGCTATTAATTAAAAGCTGAAAGTTCTTTTGCAACACTTGAGATGTCCCTGTGCTTGAAGAAGCAAGGAGCATTGTTGTTCTTATATGTCTTACCAAGCTGCAGGTACCTTTTTTTTTTTTTTTTGAATCATAGTTTAACCAGTGGTGATTTGAAGGTTTCCTGGCTGTTATTTTACAGGTATTGAAATAGGTACACCTAAGCTGTTCAAATTTATCAAAACTGTGGGTTTGCCCCTCCAGGGAAAACATCAGTGGTAATTAAGGACAACTCATCAGCTGTTGAATTTGTTACCATAAGCTGTGATATCTAGCACCAGCTTACAAAGCCTGCCCCATCATTGTGTAAGGGAAGAGTCACGTGATAATAAAACTTAATGCGTTGCAGAAATCAGTTAACAAAATAATGGTTTTTTTCTTATTCTTTCTTTTCTCTTTTTAGGGAAAATATTTTTACATTACACCTGGAATTTGTCCCAGTCTTTCCACCATGAAAGCTATTGTGGAATGCGCAGGAGGAAAAGTATTATCCAAACAACCTTCTTTTCGAAAACTCATGGAGCATAAGCAGAATAAAGTGTGTAGAGTGTTGCTTTCTAAAATTTACTGGTAATACCTTACTGTGTTATTCTGAGCTTATGATTAGTTTCTTTCGTTTAGAGTTTGCCGGAGATAATCTTGATTTCCTGTGAAAATGACCTTCATTTATGTCGAGAGTATTTCGCAAGAGGCATAGGTATGTATAAGCTGTCCATGTAATTTGAACAGTATAGCTGTTATTCTGATTTTTTTTTTTAAATAATTACTATTATTTTACAAGTAGAGACATCTTTTGGAGCTTTCAGATAGTAATAGAGGAATACATGGTCTATCTTGCAAACTGGAGAAATCTGAGCCAGCTGTTTGCTAGGTATTTCTAATAGAGGTATTTTATAGTCAGGTCACATAAATCTCTGGAAGGGTAGGCTTGAACTTGGGGCTTCAGTCCTGCGTGAGGCAAGATTACTGTCTCGGTATTCATCAAGTTAGTTGAAGATTTGGGGTTTTTCACTTCAGCTGTTCTTCCTTCAGTGTAGAACCCCAAGACATGCTGTATTTAAACAAAGATGTGCGTGGGGAAGTCTAGTATTTGCGGTGTGAAGTGTGTGATGGCTAACAGTAGGGCCCTGGTAGTGGTGGGGCAATACTCCCTTCCGCCTTTGTGTGACAAGCAGAAAGGTACAGAATGGCCTCTCCTGATGCACAGGCAGCATGAGGAAGAATGTCCTTGTAGGGTGTAAACTATGCATGTTTTTGCTATTTTCAGATGTCCACAATGCTGAGTTTGTCCTGACTGGGGTCCTTACTCAAACACTGGATTACGAATCATATCCTTTTTGTGCAAAGGCTGTCCGCTGCTTTGGGAAGTGTGGTTTACTAAAAGTTTTTCTTACTTAGGAACTAATCATTTATAATTTTTTAGGGTGTGTAATGTTTACTTGATAGGAGGATAATTTAACACCCAGAACCCCAGCTTAAATTAAAAGTGGAATTACCTTTTGATAGGAAGTACTTGAGTGGAGGTGGGAGGCAGGGTTGTCAGAAAGTAACAATAGTAGAATATTAAGCAACAGGAAAAAGCTCGTCACTAAGGAAAATATTTCTCGCGAGTTACTTCCAGATGAGGAAAACAGCTTTTTACTGAAGAAGATCATAAACCCTGTTTGATAAATGCAATGGAGGGACCAGTAAGGGTTCTGTGTCTTTATGCATGTCTTTTATGTAAGTTCTGTTTTGCAGTCATTTCTTAAAGTTGTTCTTTCTTAACAAACATACGTATAAATTTACTTGATGGATAGTAAAATGCCTTACTGCTTCGGAATCCTTGGAGCATTAAATCTAGCTGTTCAGCCATTGTACAAAGCAACTAAAACTTCCTGTGGATGCTGTTTTCAAGCTGTTTTCCTAGGGATGATGAGCAGTTTAAAGCAGGAAAGCAAAAATAAACTGCATCTTTTTTAGGATGTGTAATTTTATTATGCTGAAACATAATTTACTATGTTTTGTATTATACCATTTTAAAAGAGCCTACTTTAGCTATCATGATTAGCCCGTTTTTAAACATTTTAACGTAAATGATGGTACTTCAGCCAAAAGTGTAATTTGGATGTAAAAATAAAAGGGCTTGCTATCTATTAAATTATGGATGTTGAAGATAAAAATGTTTTGTACTTTATTTTTATTTCTTATACTCTATTTTCTTTTATATTGATATTTTGCCCACATTTTAAATAAATGTACTTTTAAATGTTTTACTCTATATTTTAGTGGTGGTTCATTTTTTTGAATACTGTGCAACAATGGCACTCTGGTAAGAGTAAATTACTCAAATCTTTTTCCAAGCAATGTAAAATTATTTTAAGCTTATTTTACCAGGTATGTTTTAATATATGAAATCCCAGTGCTTTAAAGGGAAATCGTTGTAAATGTATATATGTGTTTTTACTGCAACAAAGGAATAGCTTGAAGGAAGGAGAAACTATAAACCCACATATTACGCTGTTGTGATAACGTTTGTTTGTATAGTGAGTTTTACTAAATAAATACTAAAAACCAGTCTCCCAAATTTATATTCAGTTTTATTTCCTAATACATACACAGTTCTAATAATCTGACTTTACCATTTTTATCAGTTTAGATTCTAGTAGATGAAAAAGTCATCCTAAAAACATTTATTCTTTGATCAGCAAGCCATTAAACTCTGGTTGGGGATTGCAGATATTCACTTATCTGTGCAGCATCAAGTGTGTTATAGCACCTTGTGAACCATTCACAGAATGATTCAAAATACAAGATAAAAAAAAAACTTTAAACAATAGCTTATCACGCTGTTTTTTTCCAAACATTTTGTATTTTTATGCAGAACCATTTTGCAGAGCAGCTTTTACAAATACAGTATCATTAAACTGAGGTAAGCTGCTATTTTAGCTTATGCAAAGCTTTCTACAGAGAAATTATTAATTTCAAATCTCTCTTTTGTGCTATGGCTTAAAATGTAAATCCAACTGATACTTGACCACTATTTCTGTTGCCTTTCTTCCCATGCCTCAGTTCAACAAAGTGCTTAAGCAAATGACAAATTCAAGCTGTAAGAACACAGTGGGAGTAAATTTCAAGATGAGTGAAGTCCCACGGAGGTCAGTACTGTGCCTGTTGCCTGTTACTGCTGGCTCTGGGTTCCTCAGCTATTCTGATTTACTCCTGTATTTGGCATTTCTATTGTTAGCGTTAAAGGGCTACATGATGATAAGAATGGTAAAATTTCTATCAGTGTGACTTTTGGTGAGGTGACAAAATGCAGTAAACATTATACTTTGGCTCAAGATGGTTTTAGGTGCATTGGAGGTTAAAAAGGTATGGTACAGGGTGGGAGAAAATGGTACTTTTTGCCAAGTGCCATTTACTTGTAACGGCAGTTATGTGACTTTTCTTAGTGCGGTGTTCAGCTCTCCATAATGCAGTTTCCTCTTCATTGCGAGACAGATTAAGAAAAAGTCTTTAACGTGGAGACCTAAGGTTGGAAGTTGATGACATGATTTTATGCTTTAACTTTTAAAAATAGTAAAAAAAGAAGGAGGGACTGCAGTGGGAGTTAATTGTTGGCTGATGAGTTGTGCAAATGACTTAAATTGTTCAGACATGTAGACCTGGCAAGTTTGGTCTCCCCTTACTGTCAGTGGAGGGAGGGAATATCAGTACAACCTGACTTAGTTAAAGGCCCCTGCAGAGAGCGCATCTCAAGTTTAGCAAACTAGTTCAGTTATCTACATCTTTTAGAACACATAAAATAGGTGAGATGAATCCCACCCTAAAGAACTTCAATAGTGCATTGCAGAAATACTATTTTTTTAGTGGAGAACAAAGTATGCCTTGTTTTGTGTTTTTTTTTTTTTCTTTCATATACACTTCAGAATGTGTAATATTGAAATTATCTAAATCTGTGTTAATCTCTGTATGGCTTGAGACTTTCTTCATTATACTAATTACCAGGTTGCGGAAAGTTTTTGGGTGCCTTTTCCTTTAAAATAAGTATCAGCTGTTGTAGCTTTTGGACTTTTGAAAATGTTGTGATACATAAAACTTCTTAACTTGAATAAATACTTTCTACCTGTCACGCATTCAGCATATTTTCTGTATGCCTTACGAACGATCAGTTGCTGTATCAAATGTAAATGCTGGTTTCAAAAAGAGATACATGCATGAGTCAGCGGCACTGTTTAACTCTGCGTGAAATCGAACACAAGGCGTACGAATTTGCAGGACTGGGTTCTAAAAGCTAACAAGAGCTGCTAAAACAGCTTTCTGCAGAATGAAACTTAGCACTGAGGGAGGAGAGGCAGAGAGAAACCAGGTTTGACTGTGTTAGCAGGTTCTGCCTCAGCAACATAAACTGCTAGACTCGACAATGCATTTATGCCTCAATAAGAGTTCTCACCTTTTTTAGGATTCACTTCCACGTTTTCCACAACCAAGCAGTGTTGAGGATATGTTGCCAAAGACTACTAGAGTTAAGAGACATGTGAATGCAATAGCACCCGAAAGGTAAATTTCCTTATGAAAACTCTCCAAAATGCTGTCAGATATTGCATAGAGAAGCTTGAAGAAAACCAAATGCAATCATGGAACAAATGAACCCCGTGGGAAACGCGAGTGGTAATGCATCTGTTTCATCATCAGTGGAGACAGTGTGTTTATTTAGCCAACATACAAGTATGACTGATTTGATTAACCTTTCAATTAGAGTAAAAAACAGAATCTGCCAAGAAATAGTCTTTCAAGAACCACAGGAGCTGTCCAGAGCCAACTGGCTTGCACAGATGTTACTGTGCATGTGATTAGTGATAAAGAAAGGGTTTGATGAAGTATGCTGATACTAGATTGCTGTTATGAACATGCTTTTCCTTTCGTGGAAGGTTATAATACTTAAGTGTCTATTTGATCCTGTCTTCTGTACTCAGGAAAAAATAAATAACCTTTGATGTTGTTTAGTTGCTTGCCAGAAGCAGTAGGTCCATAATACAAGCTCGTGTTCTTTGTAGAAAATCTGTCCGGATACAGCAGTTATTTAAAGATAAATATAGAACATGTCTGTAATAGCGGAGACATTCCATCAGTAAGGGATCTGCTGGAAGTCAGGGAGACATGGTCTCCACTTGTTACCCTGCAGCTTTCTTTGCCATGAGTCGTAAAGTAGAATTGTAGAACAGAATTGTAGAAGTGCAGCTGGAAGAGACCTCTGGAGGTCCAGTCATCAAGTTTTCGGTATCTCAAAGGATGGAGATACCACAACCTCTGTGGGCATCCTGTTTCTGTATTCTGCTGCCCTCAAGGTAATAACTAAACCATCCTCATATCTAATCAGAACATCCATTGTTACACAAGTGGCTGTTGACTCTAATTTTATCCCCATGCACCTCCAAGAAGAGTCTGGCTCTTGTCTTCTTTCTGCCCTACTGGTAGGTAGTCGTAGGCAGCAGTAAGACCTTCTGTTCTTAAGGCTGAGCACACTCAGCTCTCAGCCTCTCCTTGTGCATTGCGTACTTACCCCCCCTAATCATCTTGATGGTCTTCTGCTGGACTTGCTCTAGTAGGTCATTGTCTTACTGTATGGGGGAGCACAAAACTGTGAAAAGAGGAAAAAAAGGTACTGGGTACCTTGGCCTTTTTCATGTCTTTCATCACTAGGTCCATTGCCACATTGAGCAGCAGACTTTCCTTTTGCTTTCTTTTCCTTTCCTTTTTGCCGCTGATGTATTTACAGAAGCCTTTCGTGCTGCCTTTCACATCTCTTGCTAGTTTCAACTGGGGCCAAGCTACTCCTGAATAAAAAATCAGCTGCGCAGTTCAAGATGTGTAAAACTTCGGAGTGGAGCAGATGAGCACCAGAACGGATGTGTTTAGGAAGGTTGTGCAACTTTAATCTTTATGCAGCTCTACTATTAAAAATTCATCAAATGTTCTCTAAGCGCAGTTTAGTTAGTTTGCCCTACCTCAAGGCAGAAGGCAGACAAGAAGACAGCTCTGTTGATATTTATATATTTTACGTTTAAATATCATGATGTCATAACAGGGTGGTAGGAGGTTACATAGACTAATGTATGTTAGGTAAGAATTACCATTTTTATGGATGGAAATTAAGATTGGAAAAATTTGCACTGGGAGTGGTGAAGCAGGGAATAAAACCCAGGTTAGCTATATTCAAAGTTCACATCTTGACAGCCAGTCAAAGCCCGTTCCCTTTCCCCTTTCTTCTGCCTGTCCTGTGCTGCTCGCAGGAAGAATAAAACACCAAAGCAGCGGAGCTAAGGAACAGCAACAGAAGAAAGAGAGCACACACGAATGAAACAAGGAAAGACGGGGGTCACAGGCTGACCCCTCAAAGAACAAACTTACAAATGACTCCAGGGTTTAACAGGGGTAAGTTTCTCCTAGAATTTCTATGGAATAGCGGTAAGGAATACAAAAAATGTTAAGGAAGTTGCAGATGTGTTTCATTTTACCTGCAGGGCTGCAAGATTGAGAGAGACTTACCTCCAAAATGATTCTTTTTGCTAGAATTCATTCTGCAGGAAGCACTGTAGGCTACAGGCGCTTCCTTCTTGTTGCTTTCTTAATCTTCAGAATCTGTGCTAGTGTTTAAGAAAAAATACTTCCTAGTTGTTACGGTTCCCAAATGTCTCTGAGCCTGGCTAGTGCTGTGGCATGTATGGGCCATGGACCAGCATTTCTGACACAAGCAGTACCTCCCCAACCTGTTCCGTTCTGATGCTAATGATGATACTTCCAGTGTCAACATCGTGAGCTTGCTGCCCATCCAAGCTCTTTGGAAGAGGGAATATGATTTCTGTACCGACTGTTCAGTGCGGAGCAGGTTACGCTACTGCTAGGCAGGTGGGTTAGGAAAGTGCCTTCCTTTTCTTAAAAAAGCAATCCAGTGTCTCTTTGAAATGCAACAGGCCCCTCTCGAGGGAAAGGCTTGCTTGAAAAGCTTCCTCAGTGGGATATAGGAGCTTTCCCTGGAGGAAGCCAAGTGGAGAGTGACTGTCTGAGCCCTTGGGAGATGCTCGGAGCTCTGCCAAGGGAATTTTAACCTACGGAATATGTATGCAGAGAATTGTGAAGAGTGAGTGATGCTTGGAAAAATATTCCCACCCTTAT